TTGGGTTTTGCCAAATGGCTCCACTCTCGAGGACTTCATTTCCATCATTACATGGATGACTGGCTTCTTCTAGCTTCCTTATTAGCAGTTTCTTTCTGACACACTCAGATTTTTGACAGAAAAGCTGCACATGTTGGTTGGCTGATCAAGTTAAAGAAGTCTATCCTGACCCTAATATAATATCTTGTTCATCTTGAGGTCCTTTTCAACTCTTACCTCAGTCATGCCCAACCTTCTCTGATTCAGCTATGGTCTACAGAGCTCATAGTTCAGAAAGCACTATCCTCTCCTACTCTACCTGCATGGGAAGTTGTATCATTTTTGGGGACTTGGGTGTCCTTGAAAGTCCTTACTCCGCTGGGTCAGGCCCACATGATAGCTCTTTAGTGGGCATTACACAATCAGTAGGACCTTGCTAGGGATCTCCTGTATTTTCCTATCAACCATCCTCCTCCTCTTCTCAACAATTTTGTCTGGTGGCTAAACAAAGACAACACCATGTCTGGATTTCCTCTTCTACCTTCTAGACTGGATTTACACATTTTTCAAAAATGCTTCTCTGACAGGTTGGGGAGCATACTTAGATTCTCAAGAGATTTCAGGACAATGGTTGGTGGTCGAGTCTAAATTTCATATCAATTTTCTAGAACTTTTGGCTGTTTATCGAGCTCTGGATCATTTTCATCCCCTTCTGAAGGGCATTTCAGTCATAATCCATTCTAACAACTTCACCTTGGTCTCTAACATTACCTGGCAAGGGGGCACCTGTTTTTATTCTCTCTGTTTTCAAACATTGGATATTTTGTTATGGGCTCACAACCAGCATGTTCACCTGCAGGCTTGTCATAACTCAGGTGCTCTCAATCTTGTCGCAAATTGGTCATCTTGTCCTGACAGGATTCTTCACACTGAGTGGTTCTTAATCCACAGGTCTTTCAGTGGCTATGCTCTCAGGTACACCCCAGATGGACATTTGCCATCCATCAGAACAACAAACTTCCTCTCTTTTGGTCACCATTTTCACATCCTTCAGCATTGGCAGTTGATGCTTTCAGCCAGGATTGAAAGGACTATTACATTTATGCCTATCCTCCCATCCATCTAATTCCCAGAATCTTATCCTCATTCAAACTACTCTGCATTGAGTCCTTCTCGCAGTGCAGTTCTGGCCTGCTCAGACTTAGTTCCCATTACTATAGCTTCTACATGTGTCACCCCATTACCTCTTCCTCCCACTCCATCTCTCTTTCATCAACCACATGCATCTCTGTTTCATCAATCCTTTACCACACTCCGGCTTCACATGTGGCTAGTCCAGTCCTTTGCATGAAGGACTGGTCTTTCAACACAGGTAGTTTCCCTTATTTCTAGTTCAGTCTATCATTCCTCATTATCCTTGTATTAGCAAAAATGGCATTTTTTGCCATTCGTCGCTTTGTCATAGCCTCATTCCTTCTCACCCTACTATACCTCATCTTTCTGAGTTCTTCACATGGCTGTTCGACAATGGTTTTTCTGTGTCAACCATTACAGGCTACCAGATGGCCTTGTCCTCTGCTTTCTGTTTTTCCAAGTTCTGCAATTTATTTCCTCTCCTCTCATCTCCATTTTGTATCCTCCCCCTCCCCAACCCTCTCCTCTACTGGATTGGAATCTGAATATAGTCCTACATGCCCTGACCCTTCCCCAATTTCAGCTTTAGTGATTTTAGCCTGTGATTTTCTGTGTCAACCACTGCAGGCTATCAGGTGGTCTTGTCCTCTACCTTTTGTTTTTCCCTCTCCCGTCATCTCCCTTTTGTTTCGTTCCTTTTATTTCAATCGTCCCCTCTCCCCTACTGGATTTGAATCTTACTGTAGTCTTACATGCCTTGGCCCTCCCCAACTTGAGCCTATGGGGGATTGTTCTCTGTACCAACTTTCCTTGAAAACCTATTTCCTTACCAGTTTGGTGTGTGGGCATCATCAGTCAGATGTGTTTGCCATTGATGTCTCATGCATCCTCAAACATAGCACCTATGTCATCGTCTAGGGCCTTCCTTCCCTAGACCTCGGAAGCTTGTGAGGGTAATGTTTCATTCACCCTATTTCCCTACCCTTCATTTCTCATTTGTATTCCCATTCAATTCTGGAACGACTCCCATGTCCAGTCCAAGCTTTACGATGTGATGTGGCATGCATGGCTTCCTTCTGTGGTTCCAATTTCTGATTCTTTATCAACTGGACTGGAATTCTTCCATATCCAGATACTTTTTCCTGCTTACCCTTACAGGTTGGACTCACCAACTTATTAATTTGACTTATTCCTCTTTATCCTTACACGACCGTCACCTTTTCCAAATTTCCTCTCACCAGGTCCATATCTCACCATGCCCCTGGCTGATCCTTTTCATCATCCACTGGAGGAGATTATCCAGATCGGCATGTGGACCATTCTTCACACTTTCATTTCCCATTATCTATATCATTTGGCCATCTCCTCAACCAGATTTTGTCTGCCTCCTGTTGCAGCCTTACACACTATGGTATCAATATATCTATTGCTTCTTGTTAGATCCTATTCAGTGGCAAATCTCTACTGTATGACCAGTTAGGTCACTAATGCCCATTGATAAAATGGAGTTTTCTGCATACCACTTGTAGGTCCTTCCTCTCTGTGATTTGCATCATAAAAATGTCTGTCCTCAATCATACACTTATGTACCAATATGAGTAAAGCAAAATGAGATTGTTGCTCCTTTGATCAAATAAATCAAGAATGGCCTGCTTTTAAAAATAGTGTTTTGCAGTCACTCATTGCACTTTCTCTGATATAACATTCTTTCCAATGCATTCCCCCTCTTCTTCCAGTGCAGTACAGGAGTCCTTACCACTTACCAGCTCCTAGACACTGTGGTGGTGGTGGACCATGGACCCTTCCTATGAATATGTTCAATACAATTGAGTTGAGAGTAGGGTGGTGGTGTTCTGCCAGTGTAGAACCCTCCTCCTACCATGTACCAGAAGTGGAATATCTGGTGCCATCTGGTCATGGACTGGAGCTGATCCATCATAATTTAGTTCACCCTTCCAGCTGATGAAATTATACTCCAGTTCCTATTCTAGGTATATGCTCAGTTTAAACATTAAGAAATGATTAATTTTCATTTTTGCTGATTGATTGTCATCATTAACAAGCAATTCATAAAACAAAACACAAGCTCTTGCCTGAAAAAAAGTAACACATACTTTGCATGACAAAAGACAGAAATAAGGAGGAGAAATGGGAAACACCAAGATGTCATAATGCATGGTGAAAATTCAACCACTAAACCTAATCAATTTTTGTAGGTCAATGTCCAGAAACCACATCTTTCCAAGTGGCAGTGTGCCCTTTGAAAATGTATAAAAGTTTATTTGTTCCCAAGTTTACAAAGCCAATAAGTTCAGATAGTTTCTACAGTATGACAAGTTTTCTGGTTGACAAAATACATCTATTGTGATGTAAAATCAAGGGTATATGAGTCATAATAATTTGGAGGCACTATAATATACTTTAAATTACAGCTCCATCGACATTACAAAGAGAGGGGTTTTCTTTCAACCCTTATTTTTACCAATGTGACGTATTAGGTCGTCACGAAATTAATGTCATCTTTCTTTAGATAGAAACACCCGAACAAGTTATATATCAAAACAAAACATTTATTAAATGAAATAGTCTCAATTCTTATCAAAGATGCTTTTTCATCTTACAATCAGGTTGTTAATGCCCTGATTAAAGAAATCACTTGACTCTGAAGCAAAAACATATAGATGTCTTCTTTAACACCTTCCACACTTGCATATGTTTTCTCATTAAGATGGTGTTGCAGCAAACAAAAAAGATGGTAATCTGATGGTGCCATATGTGGAGAATATGGTGGGTGGGGGAGAACTTCCCAATCCAACTCCATAATCTTGTGTTGCGTCAAATGTGCCACATGTGGACACGCATTGTCGTGGAGAAGAACACCTGTTCAATTAAGGAGTGAAGGGCATTTCT